TTTTGATCTGTTTTTAGCTTGTAATTATTAAAAAAATCAGATATTTTATTTTTATATAGTTTAACTAATTTTAATAAATGATTTGTATCTAGTTAAATATGATATATATTGAAAATTGATCAATTAATTATAAAAATAATAGATTTTTGTAATCAGATAAGTTTGAATCCTAGACTTTCTTCTAATAACTTATAAAATATTATGAATCTATAAATTAAAAATTAAAAATTTTTTATTTTTTATTATTTGTAATTTTTAAAATATTTTAAGTTAATTTTTTTGAAGAAAATATAAGATACATATAATAAATTTTTTTTTAAATTTTTTTTATTTAATAATTAATATATTATAAATAGTTAATTAAAATTAATTAAAATAAAGTATAGTTTAGTTTATATATTTAAATATATTATTAATATAAGTAATTAATTAGAATTAATTAAAATAAAGTATAGTTTAGTTTATATTAAAATCTTTTTTTATATAATTTTTTTTAATTCAATTTATTATAACTTTACAATTATCAGAAAAATCAAAATTTTATCATTATATAATTTAATTAAAAATTTATAATAAATATTTTATAATTAAATAAATTTGAAAACAAGTTTGAATTTAATTAATAAAAATTTTTAAAATAGTTTAAAATAATATTTAAAGATTATATATATTATATTTATTTTAAAAATCTTTAGATTATTTTGATATAAAGAATTTTAAAGTTTTCAATATTAATTATAATAATTAATATACGATTTTAATAAAATATAATTAATAAAAATGTTATATGGATTTTTTAAAATTAATAAATATAATAAATATTTGGTTAAAGTCAAAAGTATTAAACAGCATATTATATTGATTTTAACAAACCAATTTTTTATTTTAAAATAAAAATAATCACTTTTTTACTTAATATATCTAACATCAATCTTTTAATTTATTTAATAGAATTATTAAAAAGTTTTTATTTAAAAAAATTTTTGTTTTTAATAATAATAATAATAATCAAATAAATTAATAAGTTTTTTTTTTTGTTTTATTAAAATTAAATAATTTCTTATACTTAATAGAATAATAATAATAATTATTATTATTTTATTATTATTTTATTATTATTTTATTTGACAAATTTATGAATTGAAATAATTTTAATAAATTATTATTATAGTAGAATTTCAAATTTAAATTTTATGTTAATACATTTGTGCATTGAATAATTTTTAATTACAACTTAACAATGAATCGTATGTACAGTATATATAATAAGTTTTAGTAGTTATATTCGAAAATTTCGTTATGCTGTTATTTAAAAGAACAAAAAATTGGTTAATTATGCTTATTACCATTTTTAATTTATTTGTTTATTATTGTGGCATATTTTTTTCCTCTCGCACAACGGTCATTTTGAAGCACCAGCACATGACGCATCATTGTGACCAGATCATTTGACCGGTTGAGATATAATAGAGATCCGTGACCATCACAAAGTTGGTGAATGAAATGACTTGAATGAATACCGAAATGCGGTATCGAGCAAGTAACAAAATAGTTTTTTGTTGATCGGCAACGTGACGCGGAAGAAAGAAAAATTGATATCTTTGAGGAAAAATCAACATTTCCCTGGAATCTCAGTGCAAGCCGGATGCTGGCCAGCACGCATCAGGTTAATTTTTGATTACGTTGAGGATTACCGAGAATATCGACAAGGCATTGCAACATTAAATCCAAAGAATTAGTTGTTGATCGTTTCGAACTGACGATTTATTATTAATACATTCACTCATATGGGAACTACTATCATTGATAACAAAACCTTATCATTAGTGGCTTTAATTAAGATAAGGTTTAATAAACAGTTGCTTTTTTTTTTTTACACTTGATAACTCGAGAATCTAACCAAATTTATAACACGCAAAATTATACAATCATGAAATATTGTATGTTATCAAGGAGAAAATGTGAACACCCTTCTTATGGTACTCACGCGCGGATACATTGGAAGAAATGCGAGAACTGATTTCTTATTCTATCGATTATTTTGTGCAATTATTAATATAATTTAATTGTGTCCTTAAATCCAAAACCAGTTATTTTTTCAATAGCCAAAGATCGTTCTTCTGAAATCTCTGAGTACGGATTCTCCGAGTATGAATTGTCGATGCCCCGGGTAAAAATTCTCCGAGTAATAAATCACTACAATAATTAATAGGACACAAAAAAAAAAAAATACATACTGATATCTACAGTGTCAAACACAAAATTCACGCTACCCGACACAAATTTTCTTTTTTGCTCAAATGACACAAATAAGCAAATAGAGTAACATGAAGATAAGCCAAATATGAGTTCGAATTATTTACCCAAACAGGTTATTCACAAATCAGGTTTTTCATCGAATAAGAATAAGATCTTCAGCTGTATGGTGTATTACGCAACGGGGGTTAACCGATTATTTTATATGATACATATTTTTTGGTCAATAGATTTCTTTATTGAACTGCGGGAATACGTGACTGGTTGGAAAAAGGCAAATGATGTTCTTGATAAGTGTGAGTGGATTGGTCCGATATTCTTATCGAGGTGTCACCTTTTTTCTTGTAATAAAATTTCGTCATTATCTAGTTTCAATCTTTATTATCTCTCACGTTTCTTATTATATCATTATCAGTATCTAAACTTTTTTTTTTTTTATACTACCATCAAACATTGTACAGCATCTGCAAAATTTATAATTTATTGATGATAATGAATCATCATCGCCTTAAGCTAGTTTTTTTTTCTTCTTATCTCATCAATCTTTTTTTTTCTTTATTTGCATCACTACAAATTATTTATATTATCATTATTAAATATTACTCCGAATTTTACCAATTTAAATCATCATCTCTTTGTGGATTGAATATAAATATCTTCCTTTTCCTGGACATTTTTTTTTTTTCTCATACTTTGCTTTTCTTCGTTTCATAATTGAATTTTTTTTTATATAAGCTTAGAAAAATTTTATTTATCCTTCGGTCATTCATCACAAAACCTTTAGCACTTTGAAATACACCATCGTATACTGTGTTCTTAAGAATTATTTAATTAATTAAATTTATTGGATTTTTGTCTAATATTTATTGAAGATAAAAAAGAGTTTCTCGCTAAATTAGTTTTTAGCGTTTTTTTCTCATCAATGCATATCTGGTCTTCTATAACAAAGTATTCTAGACCTGCAACAACTGACCGCACTCTCGCTTTATACCACATCGAAAGCCCAACAAACCTCTAGAAAACATCAATTCTGTTAAATCCATACAAAACAGCCAAAGACATCTGTTTACCGGCCACGAGCACTTCTTCAAGAGGTTTGTTCTGCCGAATCGCGTTTGCCAAAAATACAATACAAATCAGTCCGCCCTCCACAAAAGGAATTTCAAGGAATACTAGTACAAGAACCGCAACCATCAGCCTTTCTAACAAATTATTGGATATGACTCCCCAGTCCGCTCAACGCTCAAGCTCAGAAAACAATCATCAGCATCGTTATCATCATCATCATCAACAACCTCAACCGCGGCCACAGCAAATGATTCAACAGCCTCCCGTCCAAGACTTGTCTTCGCTCAACCGGAGAGGTTCTATGCCATCTCGTTCTTGCAGGGCCGATGGCCACGGTGTATCCGCCACGGTTTGTGCTAATTGTTCTACCACTACCACACCCTTGTGGCGAAGAGCGCCGAACGGAGAGACGATTTGTAATGCATGTGGTATGTATTGGAGATTGACAAATTCTTGGTTCATTATTTTTTGCTGCTTTTTTTTTATTTCTAATCATTTGTTTGCCCTTATTTTATTCAGGGCTTTACCTGAAGGCCCGCAACACTGTTCGCCCACCTTGGTTAAAACGCAACGCAATCAAGAAAGCCACTCCTGCTATTTCGGAAGCTCCCGTTAACAATAGCGGTGGCACCTGCCCTGGTGATGGGCACTGTGATGGCACCGGAGGATCAAGCTCCTGTGATGGTTGTCCGGCTTACAATCAACATCAGGTCAACCGTCAAGCTTTGGTTTGTGCAAATTGTGGGACCAATACCACTCCTTTGTGGCGCAGGGATGAGGCTGGAAATACGATTTGCAATGCTTGCGGTACGTTTATTATCATGTTTAGAACAAACGTCATTTATTATTTAATACAACATTCATACTTAATGACTTGACTTATCTTTATTAATAGGTCTTTATTTCAAGTTACATAATGTTCATCGACCTGTGACCATGAAAAGGTCTGTAATCAAGCGACGCAAGCGAGTTGCCTTAGCATCTTCACCTCCTCCACAAGTTCACCATTCAAATGGTTCTGACAACGAACGATCCCACAAGAGACCTCCCACTCCAGCATCAACCTCCGGATCTGAACGTGGTTATTTTTCCTCTGATGATGACATTTGTTCAATTGAGGATTTGTCTTCCGTAAGTCGTAAGAGAAAGGCTGATGATTCGACGGTTTCCAATGGTAAACGTCGATGTGGAAACAATGGCAGAGCATCCGCAATCGAAGATCATCATTACACTTCTAGACGTAGTAGTGCTCATCATCATCATCACGGTCGTCAAATCAATGATGATGAACGTCGCAGGAGCTTATCTCCCGTTGAACCTTCTTTGAATTCTGGAATGCCTCAGGTTCACATTCACCAGAATAACAACTCTTCTTATGATGGCCATATCTTGGGAACACCGAACGTTCCATTACCGTCTGTCTTTTCTGGTCAATTTGGTAATGACAGTTCGGCTCCATCTCAAACCCAAAACTCGAGTTCAATTTCTGCATTGTTGAATCCTAGCCCGGCAAATAATGTTGGACCTCAATTGGCTCCAATCAATTCCGGTCAACCTGCAACTACCGAAGCCACCGGCACCAAAGGAATGTCTATGGGCTTGCCTGTCCCCATGAACGCTCATCACCCATCTCAACCAATCCAAGGCGTCATTCCACCCATGGCCAACTCAGTTCCTGATCCCAACCTTACCCATCAAGTTTTGCAAGCTCACCGTCAGGAATTGCAACGTGAAGTTTCGCATCTTAGTATGCTGTTGAACAGGACTACTGCAATCTTGGTTGGATTAGACCAAGCCATGGCTTCAAATGCCGTAAATCGTAGTGGTATCGATTCGTGTATGACATATAGATCCTCAACTGACAATGGATCTTTGCTTGGTAACAACAGAAGTACCTACGTTGGCTTGCCAACTCCACCTGTCGTTTCCGTGGGACAGCAATCATACATTCTCCCACCACTGTCTCCGTCTTCATCTTCTGATAGCCAAGTATCTCGTTAAAGATGCGATGATGACTTAATTCCATATCCAATCTTTTCTCTCTCTTAACATATATTTTTTTCTTTGCATATATAAATAGCATAAATATTACACCCATCAATTATGTTGTACATGACCTTTATGTAATTAAATTA